GACTCAAACATAGATTCTAGAGGCTTTAGAAGACAACTCGCCCAAAGAGGAATGAATATCAACCTCATTGGAGCGGTTTGTGTGCAGTGCACTACAATAATGTTACTATAATAAAAATCGATGTTAAACACTAGTGAAACTAAATAAAATTACTCATAAATATCTTTATAGAACGTTTGTTTAGTGTATATGTGTTTTGATATGAAATTCAAGCACTTATAATCTTTATAGAACGCTTGTTTAGTGTGTATGTGTTTTGATATAATTAATTTCTTTGGTTTTCGAAGCAAAAGCATTAAAAATGTGACTTTTTCTTCAAATAAAAAGATAAAACGTAGTTTACGTCACAATTGACTTTAAACTTCACATAAATTTCACCATGATTGATTTGGAGTTTTGAACAAAAACAACTTTAAGGGCCAACATGAATTTTTTTAGTAACTTCAGTGACCAAATGTGAAATTAACCTTGTGAATGTGACAATGGACTTTTCACGATACTCACAAACTGAATGACCATACTGGAAAAAGTTAGTTAATATCACTTTCTGCTTATGACAAATATGAAAACCAAGGATCAACTTGAAATTTTATTGAATAGTTGAATCACCTAATGTGAAATTAACTCTACCAGAAATCAATAATACGAGTTATTCTTACTCTTGCCTCCCACTCCTCGGGTGAAACAGCACATCCGTTAACTTCGAGGTGGTTCTGCTTCTGCTCCGCCACACCCAACTCACTCGTTATCGGTCGTAAAAACCATGGCTTCGTCATCAATGGCGAAACCAAATGGCACTCTCAATTATTTCCCTTCTCACGTCCAAGATTTCCCTATGATTGCTTCTGTGTCGATTACCCCCAGGTTCAGCGAAGTCTGCCCTTCTTCACTTAATTTCACCTTCAATCGCACGGCTAACGCTTCTCGTCTTCCAATCATCAGAGCCCATGTTTCTCCAGGTACTCAACTAAAAAATAAGCCACTTAAATTTCTAATTTTTTAGCTATATTTGATTTTCTTGACGGGTCTCATTTTTTTGTTCGACAATTGTGATTTGAGTGCATACTTTTAAGTTCAAATAGTTAGCTTTATTTGATTTTCTTGATGGATCTTAATTTTCCTGTTTTATAATTGTGTGCATGTCTTGTAAGTTTTAATTTATGATGCAACCCTTTCTTTATTGTTCTTACATTGTAGATTATGTACCAGACGCCAAGTTTTACAAAGTGGAAGCGATTTTAAGGTTTGGAAATTTGTATTTCTAGCCCCGTACTTACTTTTATTTAACCAAATTCTTGAGTTAATCAAATTATGTGCCTTTTTTCTTTTTTCCTTTTTTTTTTTTTTTTTTTTTTTTTTTTTTTTTTTTTTTTTTTTTTTTTTTTTTTTTTTTTTTTTTTTTTTTTTTTTTTTTTAAATGCTTCGTCGAGTTTTTCATTTTTCACATTGATATGTTCGTTTTGTCATATTCTGCTGGGACGACTTAGACCCTGGAGGATCCCGCAAGTCTCTGCGGTAAGGACTAATGAGTTATTGCAATTGCTTTACATAAAAATTAGAAACTAAATCCTATGTTCTTTGACTGTTTCACTAAACAGCAATCTCTATGCTATTGATTAAGCAAAACCTGAAACTTATGCAATTAATTTCGACCAAGTAGTTCCTAAGATCGTACGAAATTTTCTCCCATGTATTGCATCTCTATAATATTTCACTTTCACTACCATTGTGCTGTACTTTCTTCTCATTTTGTTGAAGTCGTCTTACCAATGCACTGAATACCCATGATTCCATCCGAAGTAATATATAGGAAACAAATGTGTTGCATAACATCAGCATTTAAATACATCGGGCTTATTTTGGTTACTATGTGTTGATAACAAAAAGACAAATAGAAACGATACTGACTATTTCTTACTCTTGATACGCAAAGGCATTGTTGAAAATGGGTATTCGCGGTGTCACGGTTTCTGATGTACGAGGCTTTGGTGCTCAAGGTGGCTTGACAGAAAGGCAAGCTGGTATATCAATATAATAACTATGCATGGTTTAAATGTCAACAATGCTTGATGTGGGGTTTTTTTTTTTTTTACTGGAGAGATTGGTGATGGAAAGATTTTCTGTAAGATTACAATTATTGTCCTCTTCATTTGGAATAGTTTACTTCGGGATAGTATGATCCTCTTTTGTATAAATTGAGACTTTATTTTAAAATTTTATCAATAGCAACAGTCAGCAGACTTTGGAGTAACTCTGTGCAACAAATTGTTCACAGATGCAGATTCAAAGTCAGTCCTTTCTTTATATATTACATTTTGGTTTTATTTTTCTTTTTGGGATTGGGGGGAGACTGGTGGGGAATTGGGGATACTATGGAATGTTCAAGACATTTTAGCTAGCTGACAAAACAGAAGCATTTAGGTCATTTGCCAGCTTGCAAGAGTCATTCATCTAGTGTATTGTGAGAGGGAAATTTTGGGGGTGGTGGGGGTTGGAAATACAAAGTTTGTAGGATGGGGATTTCTGCTGCCCAATTATTGGTTCTGGATATAAAAAATAATAGGCAGCACAACTTCTGATTGCAAATAGAATGAAGGTTAAGGAATATTGCTGCCTGAAACCCTTTGGAAAAATTCTCTGGTTATCCTTTGGTTGCTCTAATAAGTTTCTGAAAGCATCATTTACATTCTATAGTTTCATTTCATTGGACCTAATTATTGTGCTTTTGATGGCTTAAAATAAATAACAACTCAACTGTGGAATAACGGGTGTAAATATTAAACTGAAATTGAAAACACAAGTAAAATGACATTTCGAAGAATCCCAGAAGTGACGATATTGTTTCTGTTCATAAATTTGAAATCCTAGAAATTTAACTCGTGCAACTTCATCTACGAGGATTAGAGTAGTCTGAACTGGTTCTGCTTATGGAATTTTGAACTTTAAAATCGTCACACAAATTTTCCTTGTGGCATTTTAACTCCCCCCTTTTTTATTGCATCATCATGAATGATAGGAATAGACGGCTATATACCAAGTGTTCAAGTGATATAAACCATCTCTTGGCGTATAATTAGTTTCTCATCCTCTTACACAATACGATGTTGTATTTTCCATGAAGAGAATGAATGAAAAGTCGATGAATTGTTGACAATATCTCTGTTATTTGCGCAGTGGTTCCTGTGTCAGATGTAATAAGAGTTCGCACTGGTAAGCTTCTATCTCTACAAACAAAATGGTAAGCTTTCATTTTCCGATGGCTTTATGATGTAGGAATGCATTGTTTTAGGTGAGCGTGGAGAAATGGCTGAGAGGATGATGGGAGAGCGAACCGACATGTCCTCTCCTGCGACTTCAACATAAGTTGCCTCTGTAATCAGGCATTTCATGTCTTCGATGTGGGTATTTTTAGCCTGAAGGTCTCGTGCACTGTGACTGTTCTGTAATTTTCATTTTGCTAATGGAAAATCTATGAAGTGAAATTCAATAATTCAGTAGGTCACCTTGACCGGATTTGAGGAAAGACTTTTGTGCATTTGAATGGAAATATTTCTAAATGCATCTATGTTCACCTGCATTTACTTATCTAGTATATGTTTGGTACACAGGACTATGAACGTCAATGTTCGCTCCACATTACAGTAAAGCATATGCAAAAAAATGTAGGTGACAGGAATATAGGTGATCAAAATATACCACATAAACAATGCATTTGCTAATTGAGCCAATGGATCTCAGATCTGGAGGTTAAAAACATGAACCCTTTTGGGGTGGGCATCGGACCTATCACACCTACACTGGAAAAATGTTCGTTAGACGGTAACTGATATTCTGTTCGGTGGTTCCTTAGAAATGAAACCAATTATGAAAATGTCTTTAGATTTTAAGGTAAATAATTGTGTTTTAATTATGATGTATTGTTGTGGTAAATTGACGTTACTTAGCGGTTATATGGTGTTACATCCCTAACTAAACCACTTCGGAACGACAGTCACATCAATCCCAGGTGTCCATCCCCTATCTAAACCACTTCGGAACAACAGTCACGCCACTTCTCGAAGTTCAACATGTTCACTCGAAGTGGTTTCAAAGTGATGCCCACTCCTGACGACCTCAACATGGCGCGCTACAAGGTGAAGAGTAGATTCACTGAAGCAACTGAAATGTCCCTCAACTCTGAAGCATTGAAGGGTTCGAGACACTCCTTTAACAGATCCCTCTGCCGCCACTGTCAGAAAGATATCTGTCAGGATCCTCTCCGCCTCCAAAGATCAATTGATGTGACGTTTCCATAGGTCTAGTTGATGTGACATATCGACTTTATGTCAACTCAACTCAGAAGAGCTAATTGCCCGCCCACTCTAGACGCGGTTAATTGATGCCTATGAGCGGATGCCTCACATCGTCAGATGCATACACGTATCCCGCATCCAACAGTGCTCTACATCTATAAATACCCAAGGTTTGACAAGAGACAGAGGTAATGAAACTCATAACTTAGCTCTTCACACTAAGAAATACATATTCTCCTCCCCACTCTCTTGCATAACTTGAGAACTGTTTCGATCACCCAACGCTAACTTGACCGTTGAAGTGTATGCAGTTGCCACCACCACCGCTGGTTTTGACTGTGTGCTTCTGACCGTGCGTTGTTGTGCGCATGGAAGATTACGCGGAGTAACTATCCGTTGGCCACGTGGAGGGTCAAATTCTCAAGGTCACCAAATTGGCGCCGGGGTCGAATCGATATTTATCCAATCGTGGAAAAACAAACCTACCTTTCGTCATTAATCTTCGGAGGTAAATTCCATATGAATTTACCTTGTCCACAATCAAGGGGATTTATCCATGGTTTTTTGTGTTTTTTGTTTAGTTTAGTTTATTTCTTATCCCAAAATCCTATTTTTCTTTCTTTTTCCTTGGTTAATTTTCAAATTTTCTTAGGATTTTATCTATTCCACACGTTTAACTAAGATTTCAAAAATTTGAAAAATAAATAAATAAATCAAGTCATCAACGGAACCGGAAAGAGAGGGATTCGAACCCTCGGTACGAATAACTCGTACATCTATGGAAATCTTTCCGTCCAAAAGTTCCACATTATCTACCGGAAAAGTCACTGGCAAACCATCGACTTACCCTGAAAAGGGCACGTTCTTGAAAAAGAACAAAGTCAACTTACAAAATTCTTAACACCCTTGAAAAGGTAGACAAAATGAGTTATAGTAATGAATATGCAAATTTTGAAGGGCACGGGGATGCCTTTGAAGAAGAGGTAATTAGGACCAATGTCACGCATCGGAGACCCCATCACCGGCGTCATCGACACAACAGGACAGCGGTGCTCACCTAAGGAATGACCCAAATAGCAGCCGGGATGAGGGACATTGTTGCTCAGAATGTGGCGATGCGTGAATTCTTCATGTAGGCCCGAGGTCATCAGGGCTTTCAGATGCCTTAAGGATCTTATCCAGCTCAAGAAATTTCTGCGCTTCATGGCCGAGGCCATTGGAGCCAGCACCGGAAACATCCCCTAGAAAGAGAAGTGGGTGTGGATGTCACATCCTATGCACAGGGGAGCCAACAAGCAGAACCATCGCTAAGAAAGAACTTCCTACCAGAATACGAACCCCAAAGATCTGTCAGTATTTTCGACAGAATAGGACAGAACCCTAGCAATAGGGTGCGCTCCGTGCAGAGATCAATCCGACGAGAGCAGGAACAAGAACAAGTACCTTCTCCACCTAGAAATAAGCGAGAGTAGAGAAACCTAGTGGATTGAGATAGTCGAGAAGAGGCACCCCCACCTCCCCAAAATGCATTAGAGAGGGAAGGCTCTGAAGGGTCGTGTTGCTCCTACGAAATTGATGACGATGATGACAACCTCCCCTTCTCCAGAGAAATTCGAAGCTTCTTGATGCCTGCAAATTTCTTGCCCCCTAAAATCCCAAAATATGAAGGAAAGGGGGACCTACAAAAACATCTGACTAAGTACATGATGCATATGAGCCTCAGAGGAGCCTCGCCGGCACTAAAATGTAGGGCCTTCCATCTAACCCTCACCGGAGCTGCTGAAGTGTGGTACAGCAAATTACCACCCCTGAGCATCAGAAGCTGGCTAGACCTGAAGAAGTCATTTCTGAACAAATCCCTTTCACGAAGGGAATGAGAGGCCCCAGTGCAACGCCTACAAGATATGAGGTAAGCTCCTGGCGAGACGCTGAAAAGCTATCTCGCTAGATTCACCGATGAAATCACATACTGCGAGCAAGTAACTTACAGAGAAGCCCTTTCAGCCTTGAAAGGCGGCCTCAACATGAACACTTTATTCTGGAGAGATGTATGCAGCAAGAGTCCCATAACCTATGATGAGCTGGTTGAGATGATGAAGGTGAAAATCGTCAATGAGGAGATGATTGACCACCGGAGCCGTGCAGCCCAAGGACTTCTTGTAATACTCCGAATTTTGTGCTCATTTAATTTTTAGAATAGCAATTTAACTTTTCAAAATTTAGTATGACCAAAAAATTATTTATGGTTGCCAAATTTTGCATTGGTTGATTTATTAAAAGTTTTTCCAAATAATTTGTTAATTAGGGGTTTGGGATAAATGTCCATTTTACACCTAATTACTAAAGTTAAACATTGTTTCTCCAACTTGGCCGACAATTGATGAAACATATATGCATGAGGTGACTAACTAATGCATGAGGCGTTTTAAATTTAAGCATGAGGTGACTAACTAATGCATGAGGTGTTTTAAATTTAAGAAAGTGAAACCATGCAGCCTATACATGTTGAATTTCTTGAAGAGTCACCTAAAATTTATCATTTCTCTCACCTATAAATAGATGTGTTGCTGCCATTTATTTCCCTTGCATGAAAAACAACTTATCACTTGTTTAAAAAAGGGCAGAAAACGTGAGGGAAGAAGAGGACCAGCCTAGCATTTCTCAATTCATTTTCAACCAAGATTTCTTCAAGTTTTATTGTAAGATACTTTCTATGCTTAAGTGGTAGGATTTCATGGTAATATTTATGCTTAAACTGTGCATGAAAAACCATAATATGAATGTGGTGGACAAGTCCACAAAGTTAGATATCTATTTATGTCTTAGGACAAGTTCGAAGGGTACCGGCAAGCCAGAATGTGCAAGTATGTGTTTGATTGCATTCTTTTGTGTAGTACTAACATGTTAAAAATTCAAGCATGGTATCTTACTGAGTATTCTTTATACTCATAGTGTTCTATACTAAATTCTCAGATTCATAATTGCGGAGTTGGTGGAAGTCAGTCGGCATAATTGATGATGGGTTAGGGACAAGGTTGTTTTGCATCGAAGTTTTGTTTTTGCATGTTTTGTTTGACTGCTTTCCATATGTTTTCTTATGGTATTGTATAAAAACATGTATGAGACATGATGTAATATGGTACCAGAAGTAAATTATGCAATTATATCTTCTATGTTATGTTAAGAGACATTTTTTTAAAAAACTTCTCCTTGCAAGTAACAAAAGGCAGAAACGGGACAGTTTTTGGGTCAACTTCAAAATGTTATTTTTAACTCCATAAACGTCCATTTGAGACTCTGAAAATATTACTGCGTTCCTCATTGAGTTGTCTTAATATGGGCACAATAATCACTCAATTTGGATATCTGTAGCCTGAGATATGAATTTTTAAACGTTGAAGGGTCAAATCTGAAATTTCTGTGCAATACCTCACTGTTTTCAGTAAAACGCCCTTATTATATGATCTTGGAAATTTTTTATATTTTAACCTAGAAAACTAATTGAAAATATCTTTTTAATGTCATAAATTTCATAGAAAACGGAGTTGGGATGAACACTCGAAACTTAAGTTCGGGGCGTCACACTTCCCCTGCCTCAGAGGCAGATGGGTTAAGACCAGTCGTACACCTCGTCACCCAACAGTGGACCCAGGTCGGTCACACAGTAGCCCCCACATCCGGACAGGCATTGGCTTCAGCCATTCTAAATGCAATGCCAGTACTAGCATATGAAAATGCTCCTACTGAAGCAAGACCATCCAGGAAACGAGCAACAATCAAAAGAAGAAGAAAAAGCGATCTAACAAGCCTCTAGAAGGAGCAAGGTTCTGCACCTTTCACCAACTTTATAGACACGACACTAGAGAATGTAGGGATGCTCCTTGATCCTTGAACCGGAGTAACCCGAGAAGGAATGAATACCCCCATAGGTCCAACTCCCTGAATAGAGAAGAGAGGCAATATAGAGACCAATCGCCACGGAGAAGAGAATCCAGGGACACAGGAGAATCCAAGCATAGGGATCAGGCCCTATCTGGAGGCCAAGTTATCAGAGAAATTGATACAATCATTGGAGAACCTCATATCGGGAGCAACACCAGGAACGCCCAAAAGAATTACACAGTGGAAGCGAATGATCAACCAATGATTACTTACATTGTCAATCAGACCTAAGAGGCCAACAGGATGGTGTCGATCACTTTTTCTTAAGAAGATACACAAGGAGTTCACCACCCCCATTGTGATGCATTAGTGGTAAGAGCCGTAGTGACTC